CAGAAAGAGGCAAAGATTACAAAATTCTGCCGAGTGAGAAATTGCATTTCCTCCTATCAGACCCTGGGCATGGAATAGGTTCACCCACTAACTCAAATAAAGTGTGGACTTTCTATAAATGTGTCCAACCTCTTCTTTTATGTGTGGCCACTTTCATTCACTGGGTATCTATTCTTCTGCCTTGTTGTTCAATAAACATTACCTTTACTTCAAGCAAGTTCTTTTGGGAAACCTGGCTTGGAATTGGACCATAAATTCTTCTAATGCTATTAACTGGGATTTTAAAAGTATACTATGGATCTCAATGAACATAGGTCCTTTATATTTCTTCTTTCATGAGACTTCTATTTATCTCAAAATTTGAGGAGGAATTTCAAGAAAGTTATGGAAACCAGCTATTACAAATGGGGTTATGCAGATGAGAGAAAATAGGGCATGATTTGAATGCAATTTATGAGAGATGTGTCTCTCAAAAACTCAAAGGACGTATGTTGGGAATATTTTATAGGTCATTTTGGGTCTCTTGATAGAAATGTGCAGTAGAAGTGTAATAAGATAATGGAACAAAATGGAAGTGATCAATTCAAACTGAATGAGTATATAAAACACATTAAGCTGTTATGGTGACAAGATCTGGATTTGCATTCTTCTTGGAATTTAGTGGATCTTTGTAATCTAATCTATGGGTATTGAGTTGACAAAATGAATGGCATCCAATTTTGGTCCCTGGAAAGATATTTATTTTATCAAATTTATGTTTATCAAATTTAGAAGCCATCCATTTATCTCAATTAAAGATACCAGTGTCTTAATTAAAGACACTGGTGTCTTTAATTAAACCACCTTTGAAGGAGTTGGGCTGGATCTGAGATATTGGAATGAATGTGTACAGTTGTATCAAAGGTGTTTTTTCAAAAGGCAGTAAGTAGTAAGATCTTTATTACGGTCAAAGACCAGCAATATACATTTGTCTTTACACTATATTAAAAATACTAANAATTTACAAACTTAAAAATGGGAGGTGAAAGGGCCTCATAAGTGGAATAGCCTAGGGCCTCTTTTCATCTAAATCCGGCCCTGATTGGCATGCATATAAATTTTGTCCCTAAATAAAGCCAATACAGAGTTGTGGTTAAAATGTTGGATTGGAATTGGATATGCAGGTTGATGGGGAGAAGAATAGGTCTTGTATTTGTAAAGGGCAGAAAGAATAAGTGTGAGGAATAAGAAGGGCTGCTCCTAAGAAAACGGTCATATAAAGGAAGCCTGAATCTAGGGCAGAACTGTAACTTGAAAAAAGCAAAGAAATAAAGGAAAAGCACAATAAGAATAACTCACAGCAGGTTCCCATTTCAATTCTCAGCTTAACAAGTTAAGAAAAAAGAAGCCAGGAAAAGATAATATCAATATAGATAATTGAATTGTTAGGAAGCCTGTGGCACTCCATATATTATTGACTTGCAGTGCTTAGCATTCTGTTCCATTAGAAGTTCTGGGAAAGAATGGAAGTTCATCAGCATCTGGAAAACCAGGGTTTCCTTATCCAGCGGTAAACATCTGGAAGAAAAAAAGCACCAATTGCTGACAGATGGGACCGAAACATTTATTACGATGGAACATTAATTAGGAAGTGTTCTGTTTTGTTGTAGAAGTGTCCAACACCTGACCCTTCTCTAATTTGACCAAGAAACTAACGGCATAGAGAAATGCCGAAACAACGTGCTAGCAGCAAAGGAATTTGCTGCAGCAGGTAATCAAATAAATGCTTTCCCTCTTTAACCTTATATCATTTATATTATATGAGTCATTGGACGAAAGCCTGGAACAGATGTTTACTGGTCTGACACTCAAGTGCCATTTAAGCAACAAATGATAGGTAGAGTATGAGATGATTTTTAATAGGTCCTTTGAGAGAAGACACACAAGTTCATTCTGAAATGCTGACATCATACTTCTTCACAGTAAGGGGACATCCTTGTCCCTACTATATACTTTCTCATCCTCATCTTTTTATTTATCTGATTTGTGCAGTGGTGATAAAGATCTAGATCTTGGATTTTTTTTGTTTNTATTTAAGTACAATGACAATAAAGATTATACTTATACTTATAAAATAAATGTATTCTACAAAAACAGTTTCTGGGCAAAATATATGATTCTCTATATAATCTAAAAAAGTTAATTTACCTTCAGAATCCAATTTATGTATTTTAAAATTGTCTTAAATATTTTTATTTGTTTCATTCACATTTGCTTTGTTAAGTTTATGAAAGATACCAATATCTAATTAAATGGTTTCACAGGTTTACTATATAGTGATTAGACTGATATAATAGAATAGATCTAAAGCAATTTCAATGTTGAATCTAATATTAGTAATCTAGAAGGCAATGACACCATCTATAATTATTGGTACAAATTCACAAGAGTAATTAACCCAGCTGAGATGTTATATAATTATAAATATTATTATTGCAGAAAGTCAAGTTTATTATGTGTCAGATCCCTACCATGATACTGCCATTTCTGTGGGGAGGGGAACCTGGATCATTTATTCACTTATTACCCTCTTCCTTCTTTCATCCTATAATCTCTTAGTTTATAACCCTAGCTCTGCCCTATGCTTTGATTTACCTTTTTGGAATGTGTATGCGGGGAGGGCCATCTGTTTTGTCTCAGTTCTGAAGTGCCTGGGAACAGTCGCTTATCTCCTTCCCAGGTTGACCGTGGTCACAACATCTTCACACCTGTGGATTGGCTCATTCAACATCGGACTGAGGGGAGAGGTTTCTAACTCCTTTATCCTAACAGAATTGCCTAAGGGGACCTTAGAGCCTGCTTTGCTTTTGTCCTGCAATCATTTCCTTTCAATAAAAGATTCCTTTTGAAATGTTGCTATTTCAACTTTTATGTTATGTCAACTAAGAAAAATTATTCTCCATATATGTATACATAATTTATATTGTAAAACAATATAACTATTTCAACAGGCAAAGAAAACCAACAATTACTGTTGTATTTCCCAGTCTGTCTTAGCACTTTGAGATTAAATCCTAAATGATAATTAGCCAACAATATTTCTTTCTAGTGTGGAAACATATCTATAGATTTTAAGTCCAATTATATGCATGTAATATATTTTTAATAACAACAAAATCTTAGAATAATTAAATAGTGCAAAAGAATCACCACCAAACTATTAAAGTAATCACACTTTTTGCAGATTTGTGCAGATCCTTCAGAGGCTGTTGGGATCTCTGCATTTGTGTGCTTCACATTAAAGATGGTCCCAATGGAAGCATTCTCTGTGAATATACAAGTATGCACAAACAGCTAGGGACAACTGTCAAAGCAACTTTGAATAATCTATGCACAATTATGTTCATTTGTAACTACCTTAATGACTGTAATATTTCAATTGTGTTAACATATGTTGTAAAGTGCCTTATAATAATAGGATGTTGTTTATTTCTAATATGTTTGCCATTGTATTACGGGACTGATTTTCTTAAAATTTTCATTTTCAGTGATAAGTACAATATTATAATTTTCATTATGTATTGCTGCACTTATGCTTTTAAGTTTGTTATTTATTTTTAAATTAGCATTCCTTGTTTATATAGTGAGCAAAGCAATTCTTTTTATAAGCAGAAATAGGACTAATAAAAATATGTCCAGTTTTATAACAAAATAAACAAATGATTGAACAGAAAAATATCAAATAACTACAGAAGTTGAAAGAAAAGAATGGAACACACAATCTTTATCCTCAAGAGTTATTTATAAGTTAATATAGGTATTACATTATAAAATCATTTTAAAACAATTTATGGTATTGTGATATGCTTAAAATATCAGTTGTACATCTATTTTTCTACACCAATAACATGATCATCATATTACAGATTACCAATTACTATATTAGTAACACAAAATGAAATGCTCATAGTACTACTTAACATATATAAATATAATGTATTATTAATGCTGCTGTAAAAACAACACAAGATAATCTAAATTTCCTTTTGGATTTTATTTATTATTATTAGATTGGAGATAAGTGCAACAAAATATACTTTTATTGGAATGTGCTATAGGACTCCCCACCAACAGACATCAGGAGAGAAAGCCCTGAATGAAGCAAATTTATATGTTTGGTTTGTATTTTACAAAAGAAAGCTAAAGGAAGTAGTACAATTACTATATGATACTTAAACTTGATGCTTTGATAAGCTATTGGAATGACCTCCTTGCTATATTTCAGACAAATGGAATCTCTCTGATATTATCAACATATACAATAAAGAACACTGTTTATATTACAACCTACTTTTATACTATTATATTCACATTTCAAAGGACAGTTGTGTGATTTCTAGGCAATGGGTTACAGTAAGGGTGTCAAGCTGGTGGCCCATGTGCTGGATGCATCATGCACAGGTCATGCCCACCCAAGTACTGCAAAGGGAAAATATGTCACGATATATTACGTGATGGCAACATGACGCCATAGGTTTGACACTCATGTTCTACAGGGACATAAATGTATAAATTTGACTCAAAAGAAGTTTATTTCCAAGGTATATTAATACAAATATTGTATATATAAAAAGTGAGCTCTTATAAATATTAAGTGCAAGTTCAAATACTGTTTCAATTCTATTAAATCAATATGAATTAGTAGGAAAACTTACCTTTTTCTACTGATTTCCTAATTAAAATATATATATATGAATGAAGGGGAGGGATAGCAACTTTACCTTATTTTGCTCAACGTAAGAAAAGTCAAAGAGCATAACTTCTGAACATGTGATTTATTTGATATATCAATCTTCTCTACTGTCTATATTTTTATGAATATTTATTTAAAGTTCATAAATGGAGAGAGAGATTTAGAGCTAACTTTAAAAGCCTTTGATTGTTTTAGTTTGAGACATACCCATGTGAAAGTAGTTCATCATTACAATATTGCTAAGCAATATTTCAATTGCTTAGCTTACCTGCCATTGCCTCATGAGCTCCTGTATTTCTTGAGCGTCTTCTAGGATTCTCTCTTTACATGTGGCATCCTGTAGGACATTGGCAGTGATTTCTGCTTCTGTAAGCCAGGCAAGAAACTGTTCCAGATCCAAATAGAATTGTTGCAAGAGCCTTAGAGCTGCTTCCAATGAGGCCTCTTGCTCTCCAACACTGTGAAAATGCAAACATAGTTACATGACGATGAGTAACTGGGATCCAAAATGGTTCATTCATTCATATAGACAGAGAGTATAGGAGAAATTTTCAGTAATACTGAGATGAAATTTGAATTAAACTTTTATGCATAAGTCTCAAATCCTTTTAACGAATGTTTCCTTCTGAAACCACTATTAAAACTAATTCCTACCCTTTAGATAGAAGTGGCTATTTAGTGACATTTTCAGTGATAATGGACAGTTATGGTTCTACAGAAGTGAACATGACAATGTTACATTTTTACTATTATAATTTGAAACAAGCTATTTAATCACACTATTTCCAAATTATATATAAACTTATTAAGAGAAGTCAAATAAAGCGTTTTTTCAATCACTGACTAGTCATAATTTACCAAAACCTAATAAGTTTCAGAGTTAGGGATGTGATCTTATCTGTTGATCACAGTTGACTATTTTTTTTAAAAAAAACTTTTTTAAAAAGAATAAGGATACATGTATATACACATACAAGAAAGAAGAAGAAACAAAAAAAATATAGAATCAGGTGAGTCTCAAGAAGCTTACAAATGTAATAAAGATATGTTTTTTTCCATATTCGTATGCATAATTTAGTAAAGGAATATCTGAGGGAGAAAGGTGGTTAAGAAATATGAAACATAATAAATATAAATAATATCTTTGATCCCTAAATTATGATTAAATTCAATACAGAATAAAATCATCTTGAAACTACTGATTTTGGCTCTATCATACATATGTTTGTAATATATGTTCAGGTTATTCATATACCACCAATATTTTTTTTAAAGCCATATTTCTAAAGCATCTTCCCAACATATTGTGTGAAGATCAATAATCACAGGAAACTGGCTG